GGTTTTTCTATGTATTTTGGTTTTAGGTTTGTCCCGTGGTGTCATGTAATTTTTCCCATTGAGTTTAAATATTTTGTGCATCTGCTATCAGGCTTTAGAAGAAAAAATATTAGGAATCAATAGAAATTCAATTTCATTTCAAAATCTTGAAAAATTATGAAAAAGATCATGAAGTGTCTTTAGTTTTGCCTTGGCTAAAACCTGATTAGTTTTGTTAGTTGTATAAACTAAATATGTATTAATTTTGTTGGAAAGTTAGACTATAAAAAAAAAAAATCCTGTGACTTATGTTAGTTTCTTTGTATCAATTACCAGAACATTTACTTTTGTTTATATTAAAACATGAACCTGAAATTTAAAACAGGTTTTTAGAAAAAACAGAGTTCCCAGCTCCATATGATGTCATAGACCGATTTCATGAGTAAGCACAAAGTCCGGTGTCCAAGAGAGCAATTTAGTTCGTAAACTTTCTTTGTAAGAACTCAAGTAGAGTATCAGGTAGTATGCAGAGTTCTCATAGAATGTGTGAAATGTATGTATATACTGTATGCTCAGTGTTATGAAAATACAGCCATGTATTTTTTGTACCTATCTCTACATTCTGTAGAATGAATGAATTAAAAGCCTTTTTAATAAGATTTCTAGATATGATTTGTTAATGATGTAAACATTATTTCATTTGAAGGATGTATCTTTTTTAAATTATGTTCAAGTTCACTCTCAAAATTAAAATTAAGATTGATGTGCTGGGACTTGTGGCAACAGTAGCTATGTGTCCATCTGTGCTTCCCTGAAACACCTTTGTATGGTGTTCTTCGAGACTGTGTTGTAGGGAGGCACATTATACCTGTAAATAGTTTATTCCAGCTCATGGATATTTTGTTAAGTTAATTTCCTCCTGAGTATCTCTCCTTATGATATTGAAACATACAATTTCAGTATGTGTTTCTCTTATTTATCCATCAAAATAAGAGATATTGATAATGTATTGAAATAACCACATCCAGCTCTAAATTTATTTTCAAGTTCAGTACTCAGCACTATGCCTGCTCTTAATAATGTCCTACAAATGTGAAAGTTCACTGATATACAGATTCTGTGTTGTAAATATTAGAGTCCGACTTTGTACGGCCAGTCAGGATATGTAACATGTCCTCTTGCAAGCGATCCATTTTGAATGCTATGTGCCAATCATTAAGAGCTCTATGAAAATTTATACTGTAAATCATATGGTTTCAGGCAGCATCTCTATGAAAAAAAACAAAAACAATTAGGTTGTCCAAATAATTGTTTCTCTTTATGTCACTGCAAGTGTGCACCTGTTCTGTGGCAGATGCGTGTTTAACAGCAGTGAGTAACCATTGTGAAGAGAGAAAATTTTTATAGAGCACTGGAATGGTTGAAAGAATCTGATTTGCTTGTAAATATTTTTTTGATGCCTCCAGGACATTACTTTGTAGCTATAAGGTTTGATTCACTCGTTAGCTGAGTAAGTGGTATCTAGCTTTACATTTTTGCTACTTTGATGGGAATTTTTTCCCTTAAAAAAAAAACCTTTCCCAAAGCAAAATTAGTTTTATTTCCAACATTTTTTATTTCTTATTCTTTCCCAGTGAAGCATATATTTTTTTTCCGTAACATAATTTTCCATTGTGGTTATTGTTAATTACAAAATGACACATTTTTAATGTTTAACACATTAAATTTTTTCCATCATTTCTGTCACTAAGGTTGTGACTTCAGCTTGTTTAGTGAATTAAACCTTCAGAATATGAACCAAAGATATTAATTTTAATATGGTAGGCAAGTAAGTTACTAATTTGTACTGTGTATTGCTGTAGCCCGTGATGTGGGCGTTGGGATGATGTATTGGTGAACTAGTCAATAAACTCAAACATTCCATGAGTACTTAATTTTCCATTATCAGTCCTCTATTTTCAGTGTTTTTACAAATCTTATTTAGAATATTTTATTATGGTTTTCTGCCCAGAGCTGCATGTCTTAAGGAGTGCTTTTTGCTCCATGACTTTTCTTTTAGAGTGATCTAAAAGGTCACATATCTGCAGGAAAAGTATTCCATTGAAAATCCAAACAATATCACTTGTAAATAAATTTGACTACATCAGGAATTTTTAGTTCAGCTATGCCTGAGAAATAGCAAACCACCCATAAGGAGGAAATAAGTTGCCAGAAATCTGTCGTCCGCAAGTAATCAACACTAAATTACTCAACATGACAAATTTATCGTACAAGTTCCTCTGACTCAATGGCACTGAGTAGTTCAAGTAGCGTCTTTATCTCCTCTGATGAACCTGCCTGCCAGCTGTTGGCCACAACTGCTTGGAGTTTCTTTCATATTTTACATGATGTTTTATAACCATAATCATATATTTGTCATATATATATAACAATGATAAAGTAATGGTTTACAAAGATTAGTAGGGACCAACTTGAATTTATATGATTTCAAAAAGTTTATGTGGTCCATAAAGATTTTATA